CAACTTATTTTGGAGCAATCGACTTACAGCCTTATTTGTTGCGATATTATCCATAGTGAGTGCAAACATTTTCTCTTTAATAGAATACTTTTCTAATATATTCATTATTACTAAAAATATATCTTCAGCTGTTTGTCCTGATTGCTGAAAACTTAAAATTATGTTTATTATTCTCCAATTATCACTAAACCACGATTCAGTAATGACAACATAATGGCACTTATGAATGGTTGAATGCCATCTATCACATGTTAGTGAAATTCGTCCAGAAGATTCAGCTAGTATACTCTTTATAATATTGAATCTTAAATTAAATAAATTTCCGGTAAGATATCGTGATATTGTAGTTGGATGTGGGACTTTATATAATTTCGAAACATATTGAAGATTTTTGGCCATTTTATGAAATAACGGATTATTGAGAATATTAAAAGACACTCCAGTTCCAACGACCAAGTCAGTTATTGTTTTATTCATATCTTCTTTTGTGATTAGCTGAGATGTATTGTTTTGAGTATTATGTAGTGGAGAACTAGGACATCTAAACAAGACATGTTCTTTTAAGTATGTTCTACTAGTTTTTATTGAATAATTCTTTATATTGCAATGAATGCATTTCCAAACATTTTTATTCCCAACTACTGTAATAACAAAGTGCTCACTAGTCCTATATGTAGTACCAACTACATCCGGTTCAATTTCACTTGGTGCTGAGGCGTTAGAAGTAGTATTAATCAAATTATCTGTTATCGTAAGTAGATAAAGCAATATACAGATAATATAAAGCAGTACGATGCAAGAGAGTAAAGAAGACAATATAAGGTGAAAAATGCAAACAAAGAATTATAGTACTATTTTATACTTTTCTCTTTATTATTATTATTATTATTTGATCTTTAATTTAATCGTTTATTTAATATATTTAGCTCGACACATTTTTGATATTATTAATTTACATGATCACTTATTTATTTTAGCTTGAATACTAATTCAATGCAATCACTTATTTTTGCATTTAATATATTTAGCTTGATCACATATCTGATGTTATTACTTAACATGTTCGTTATTTAATTTTAGC